TAAAAATGCATAAGTGCCCGATTTTGTTATAAACGCGGTTTTATGTATGTCTTCGGGTCTCATAGCTATTTGATAGTAGCCAGACGTTAAGTCCAAAGTAGACATATATCTTGTAGATTTGATCTTGTCTAATAATTTCCTCTATAACCGGCAAAGGGTAAACTGGGAATTTAGTAATACTATTTAGTTTTCTGTAATCGATAGCAAACCTCCAAGCCCTTTTATCCGAAGGAGGAAACTCGTTCTTTTTCCTACATAGTACGACTGGACTCGCGTACTCACTATTTATGGGCGTTATTATTTTATTCTTTAACATCTCCTGAATATGTTCTTCGATGATTAAGTCTTTTTGTTTATCATAGCGATAAGGTTTAGTCCTACAAGGTTTTTCGGCATTTAATTGTATCTCATGTGCGTAACTATTTGACAGTTTACCAGGTTTTTCTGAAAACAAATTGAAAAATTACTCACCACTTGCTGGATTGCTTTACTTTCATGGTCATTCAAATGGCTAAGGTCCACTTGCGGTTGTCTCCACAGGTTCCACCACCCTCTGGTCCATCTCCAGCACCACGGAACTATCCTTGAAAATTCAATTTGGCCCTCGCGGCCCTTAAAAACTCCATACCTAAAATAAGAGATTTTGCAGGTTTTTCACTACAAAAATTAATACTTTGAGGCTTTCCTCTTTTACCTGTAAGTTTTAATGATAATTTTCCCGATGCAGTGACAGTTTTTCCTTGCGCCGCTATAATTTCCGTATTTTTGGTTTTAAATAATCGTAACCTAAAAAAAATTCTTTTTGAAGAAATTTTCACTCATAAAATTTCCTTCTGCTCCTGTATCGATGAGGGCTTCTACTGGTACATCGCCAACCAGGACTTGTATAATTGGTAAGCTGTGAGTTTTTTACGATGACCGTATTTAAGTGTCTTTTGAGGGTTTTTTCTAAAACTTCCGGGGTCTGGACCCTCGCTTTCACAGGCCCCTCTACTCGTTTAAAGCTTTCCTTTCAATCTGTGCCTTCTGGGTACGCGGATGTTTGTTTTCAAATTTTCTTTTTGGGCCTTGACCTTCGAGTTTCGATGAGTTAGCTTGATAGTTCTTTCCCCCATAAGAGCGATTTGCATTTCTGGTTTCCTCATTTTGCCTTCGGTACTTTGAGAATACGTTTCCCCTCTAGCTTTTTCCGCTATTCTGCGATTTTGAAACTTGACCGCCAATTCGAAGAGCTCCTGCAATGTGCTTGGGTTTCTAATTTCGAAGTAGTCTTGAACAGCAGGTAACAATCTTGGTAAGATTATTTCAATAATCTCCGCGTCGGGGTTTCTTCCCATACAGCATATCCGTCAGCTTAATTTTTCGCAGAATAAAGTCCGTCAACTCTTCTATATTCCCGTTGATAAGAAACTATATAGTTCGGCTTCCTAGCCTTGCTCGATCTTTCACTATGGGGAAGGCCTTTAACTAACGATTTTTTGAAATTTTCAAATGTATATGTCTGGCTTCCGAATTCCCCTAATAAAAATTTGCCTATATTTTTCCACCATAGCGCGGCCTGTCCTCTTAGTGCAGATGTGGCGATGGCAACTTTTTGTCTTTCAGGCACAGGGTAGAGCTGAAAGTGGTTTTTTCTAGGCCTTCTAGAAATATCGCCACCGAATTTTTTCCGTCGAAATTGACGTTTGGCTTGATTGACGCTCTCAAAGTCTGGACCAGGTATCCAAATCCTTCCAATTGGCTTGCCATTTCTTGGTGTTGTCCAGCGGCTTCCATCCAAGTTTTCGGCCATTTCAGTTCGATAAGTGTTCGGGCGCCAATGTAACGTTGCGCGCCTCCAACTTGCACGCAACCAAGAGGTGACTGTGAAACTTGATAAACACAAGAGTCTTATAAAGGGTTTAAGTCCCTTTTTATTCAACGTAATAAATTACAATGCGTGCTCTTGACGCTCACAAACTACGCCGACCGGCGGTAAAATAAAAATAAGAAACCTAAAAAGAAATAAAGACAATGATTCTAACTACGAGGCTCTCTAAAATAACTAACCTCACCGCGTTTTACAAATACCGCTGCTAATTCAGCAACTTTGAAGCTCACTTGAACAATTGCAACTACTTCCCGAGGCAAGCACATAGGCCGAAACGCGGGGTTCTTCAATTCTCGACTACTACCTCCGCGCTCGTGAAGTAAGAAAACTCTCACCGAACTCGTTTCCTTCTATTTAACTCAGAATACTTCCGCTGATAATTTGAATCCTTGCGCGTTCTACTCAAATTTACATATTCTGGCATTGGCAGTTCCAGGGGAAAGTAAGGATTGACAGGAAAGATAGTTTAAACTTAAAATAAATGTTAGTTAAAATAAATATAAACCCTACAAGCCCTTCTGGGCAAATTGACCCTTTTGGGCTAAAAAGAAATTCTTAAAGGATTGATATCTTAACGTCGGTAAGCATGTTATACTCTCGCAGAGTCCGCAGATTACGAGTCTGCTCTTGTACTCACTCCTCCTAACACAACTTTTTAAAAATCTTTTTAACTTTATTATTAAACATCGCTTCTTTCTACCATCATCTTCTTCATAATTACACCATCTAAGATGCAATAGCAAAATCATGAACGTTTTAAAAGCAGCATATATTTAGAATTTTCAATATAGTGTTAAGTGTTTCCATTATTTTGTTTCAATCTTTTCTCAGTTTCCCATACCGATGTTCAGATTTCTCAGTAAGATGACTTATGCAACTTCATTTGTCTTTTTTATCATTAGCCTAAAGGGGCGTTAGCCAGAAGGGATAATAGTCAAAGCTTTAAACAAAACTTCATTCTTATGGGTACCTAGGTAGGAAGCCCTATACGCATCTATGTAATAGAATAAGTTTTCGAACATTGAACCATTAATGAAGTGTGTGAGATAAGCAATTTTAAGAAAAGTCCTTTGTGGAGTAAAGTTGAAAAACTGAAGGCTGCAGGAGGCAATTATTAGCATTTCAGGATAGTCAGCAGGAAAAACGTGATACTTCAACACAGGAAGTCGAAGCTCGTCTGAGGAAAGGCTAGCCGTAGAGATGGAGTCAGGATGCTTTTCTGTTAGTCGAGGAGGAGGATTTTGGTTCAGATGAAAGTTGGTTGGATGGAATAATAGTTTGATCACATGCAAGTAGGGGGAGAGGAGACTCGTTTCGTCGTTCCACAATTTAAAAGGGATGTCAAAAAGTGGGAAGGGGTATTGGGTACAAGTAAATAAAATTTAAGATTAAGTAACTAATTTTAAGTTAATACTTTCAAAAAGAGCAATAGAATAAATTTTAGAGCATAAGGATCATGACAGATATAACATAATGGGCTGTTAGTCTTGAAACGCCATTTTGCATTGAATTACTAAAGGCTTGAATTACTTGTATTTCTTTTCAGATTGTTGCTACCAAAGATTATCGCCCGGTATTATTTTCAAAGAAATTAAATAATGAAGAATCTGCATAAATGTATGTATGCTTCTCGCACTGTGAAAGAACGGTGCTTAGAGTCATCAAATTCTGAATAACGCAATTCTCCACCCGAATATGAGCACCTGGAACCCCGAATTTGGAATTTGTTTTATAGTCTTTTTCGTATTTTGTGCCCAAAAAGGACAGTAGCCCAAATGCTCTCGAAAAGTGTATGTGTGTGTAAATGACAAAAGTAAATAAGTAAATAAATAAACGCATCTTTGTGCGTAATATAAAATCTGAATGCTTTCAGATTTATTATTATTATATTATTATTATTATTATTGTTTTAATTTATTTGTCTTTTTAACTTTATTTACTATGCACCAATTTCTTCTCTGTTATACCACATAAAATTCAGTAAAAAAATCACAAAATATTTTTAAAAAATCTTATTTTTAGAATTCCTGATAGAGTGTCAAGTTGTGTCTTTTTTTTTTTTTTTTTTATGTATTCGTTGCATTATTTCTTTAAAAATAACACCGGGGGGTAACAATTACAAAATAAATGGTGGCAACATTTGCAAATATTTAATTTGCAATTGTATTTTATAATGGTAGCAAAAATTATAAAATACCATTACAAAATAAATGGCGGCAACATTTGGAGGCAACATCCTTTTATTTGAAAAGTTATACTGACAAAAATGTAAGGATCCAGACTGTAAGCATCTTAAGTTGTACTAACGTTTATTTTTATTTTAAAACTTTACTATTCTCTCTTGGCTGAAAGTGGAAAATATGCAAATTATATGCTAACTTTTTATGCAAATTATACTTGCTAACTTTGAAGTATTTAAGTTGTGGTTTTTGCCGAGAGAGAGTTAGATGGGGAGAGAGTAAGCCTTCTTACGACTATACTCCACGCGAGCTTCAATCAGCTGCTGTCTGCCTTTAAGGGTAGAGGTTTTAGTCCTCTTTGAAAGCTAAAGACGTATTGTAGTTTTTCTCGGTTTGCGGAAAATTACATACGCAGTAATTTAAAAGGCCAGTCTTAGTGTTAGTCATCTGTGTAAAATATTAAAAGTTAGTTCTTATTTAAATTTTAGTTAGTTAGTAGTTTTTTATATTTTTACGTTCAGACCACAAGTGGTTGGTCTTTGTATCCCGCAGTGCGGGAGCGCTTGTAATATCGTGGAAAATAAAGGGTAATTTAACCCTTCACATCTTGTCATCTTTTCTACGCTCCATAGGACATAGATTGTAGTTAAACTTATAGCCGTAGAGCGTTGGAATTTTATACATGGATCTGCTATAATATTTAGCTATGCACCTCTCTTTTTTACTGCAATTCGCGGTATCAAACATATTGCAACTTGCTCTGAGGAATCGGTTAATTAAGTTAAATTAAAACGAGGAAATAAATTTAAATTCAGTGAAGCAAAAATTGTGCATAATTTAATAGGTCGTACAAGGCAGTCATGTAGTGTTCAAATCAAATTTCTTTTGACGTTCATCAAATGTCAGAAAACTTAAATTAATTTTTAATATTTGACTTGCATTGTTTTTAGGATTTTGCGAGGGTGAGGATTATGGCCGCATTCCCGTCGGAGGCATCAGTTATAACAATAGAAAATGCATTCGGTATACATGTAATGATGGACAGATTATACGATCTGAGTAAGTACGGCAAATTTTCCTTTCTTTCCAAAAAATTTTGAAAAGTGATAAAATAAATACAAATAATATGATTATTTATATATTGTTATCTCAGATGGAAAGTGAAGTATATTTTAAACGAGATTTAAATATTAAAGGGGGTTAAAAGAGTTACTCTCCAAAGACGTTATAATCTCGAAATGGGATTTTGAGTGTGGTCACTCTAAACGGCGTATCACTTTTCAAATTATTGTCACTAAATATTATCATGTTATTTTTTAAAAAATCGCCTTGTAATATTTTTAAAGAAATTAAAAAAATTTAAAAAGGAAAAAATAAAATCTGAAAAGTTTCAAATTTTAACGGTCGTTCAAAAGAATTTATTAAGTTTTTTTATGCTCTCGCTAAGCTATTCGCATAAAATTCTATTCAACAGGAAAATCAAAAAATATTTAAAAACAGCATATCTTTAGAATTTCCGAGATAAAATTTTTTTTTTTCTGTACAACGTTGCCACTGCTCCCTTTTAAATGGTTGGGTTTGTTAATCAAAAATACGTTAAAGTTTTACAAAATATGAAATAGGTAATAAAACAAATCCCAAATTCTGGCTTCCAGGTGCCCATGTTCGGTTGGAGGATTATGCTATTCAAAATTTACCGTTATTTTTTCCTAATACGAGAAACATGCATACATTCATGCAGATGCTTCATTTTTTAATTGCTTTAAATGTAGTACACGACGATAATATTTGGTGACAACAATATGAAAAGCGATACACAGTTTATAGTGATTGAACTCAAAATGCCATTTCGAGTTTAATATCCCATGTGTGAGACTACCGTCTCTTTAGGGCTAATAATGAAGAACCTGTATGTATCCTCGAATTGTTAAAAAATGACGGTCAGTAGAACCATCAAATTTTGAATAATATAGTCCTCCACCCAAGCATGTGCATCTGGAAGCCCTCTTCATGCTTACCTGAAAAATCGTTATACGCATGATTTCTAGAGTTTGGTTGGTGTTGTGATACTAAGGTGCTGCAATAACATGTAAGCACACTATATTTTAATTTGATTGATTTAAATACAGATGCATAAAAATTATTAGATGTCTAATTAGAAATATTCAATATTTTTATGCAATGACAGTACAACTGGACTGATAGATATCTTTATATACTTTTCCTTTTTATAGTAACTATTTTAGGTGGTTGGCAGCGAGACCGGCTAGTTTTTAAAGAAGTAATATAGTGAGCATAAAAATATGTACAGCAGCCTCTAGCACTATACTGGGAATTTTAAAGATATGCTGTTTTTAAATATTTTGTGATTTTGCGGTCGAAATTAGTTTTATGTGGCGTAAGTGTGAAGAATGTAGTATTTACTAAATAATGCTAACACGTAAAAAGTTATAGTGAAAAAGAATAAAAAAATAATAATAAGTTATAAAAGACAAAAAGAAATTGTTTTTAGCCATCTTACTAAGAAAACTAAATACTGATGCAATGAATTGTGAAAAGACTAAGAAAGTAGAAAAATGTGAAAATTTTGTAATTTTACTCTGTGGCTAAGTGCGAAGAAAAACGGCCATTATTAATAAAGCTGAAAAAAAAAAAAAAGAATAATAGAAATAAGTGCTAGAGCAGACTGATAGGCTGCGAGCTCAGGGACAGAGTAAGAAAACCTTAACAAATTCCTTTGGACGATCACAAAATTTGAAGCTGTTCATTTTTTTTTTTTTAAATTTTAGTTTTTGTTCTGAGCACTATCGTTGTTTCTAGATATACTAATTCCCATAAATTGCGTATTAAAATTAAAAATATCAGATTAGATTTTAATGATTATTCAAATTCGCAAAAAATACGAGTAATAAACAACATTGTTATAATACATGCAACTTTTATATTCAAATGGTTTTTCATAATTGATTTTTAGTTAACGTATGAAATGTGATAAATTTCTTTTAAGTAACAGTTTTTTGTAAGACGTGGTTGTGACTTTCCATTTAATGGATAAATAGAAATCAGAAACTTTGATAGAAACTGAACTCTGGTAGTTGGGTCTAAAGTTCGAATCCCGCGAACGGGCTGGCTGCATGGGCGTTTTCACGGTTTTCTCCTTGTGTAACGTGTATGCGAGCCAGTTTCCATTAAAACACGTCCTCCACGAAGTCATCCCTTCCCTTAGGCAGATAGCCTCCAGGCTTTGCTGCAATCACATAAACCAAACCAAACCATTATCCCCACGATGTGAAATGCACGCATTCCAGCACTTTGGAAGAGCATGGGTACCATGTGAAAAGAATTCTTTTGGTTGCGACTATAGTCTTTCGTGAATTACGGATTTCGTCGCTTGGAAAATGCTTATCTCCCGCCGCCCCTTCCTGTTACCAGAAATATGGAATTCATTGAGGGTAATGTTCGTTGAATAAGGCGAATGTGTGAAACATTCCAATTTCGTATCCTTTATTGTTGCATTCGTTAAGTGGGCAGTATGTGGTAGTACATGGGTATTCAAAATACTACAACAACTGAATATCAACACTAGAAAAATAGCTCACCCTGTAGAATAATAACAGGACTGTAAGAGCAAAACTATTATAATGTAAACATATTACTATCCAGTTTGTATGTACTTGATAAAAATAATATTGTAAAGCAGTTTAAATGATATTGAAAATCCAGTCAATGTGTAAATGAATTACAAGTTTAATTTGATTATCTCAGTAAAAGTATTGTAAATATGAATTCATATAATGTTTAAATGTACACATAGCTGTCATGATTTTATGTATCTATCATATGTAACTTGTACAAGACAATGATTGTAATCAACATATCTATGCTTATACACAGGCCTTGTATGTCCATGTAATATTTATGGAAATTTTCCCTTCTGCCAGGATGACTATTAACACTGTAAGACTTTTACAACAAAGTCAGGTCAGTGGTTATCTCAGGCGGCGCTCAGTACATGGTTATGCAGTAGTAATTCATCAGACGTCAGAACTCAATTCAATTGTTTACATTTCATTCCAAGGTAAAGGAGAGCAAATCTGCTTAAGATGGTCAGTCACCCTTCTACCTCTTCCATATAATGTTCCATATAATCTTCCATATAATATCCGAAACTACCTTACTTGCATCCCGGTAGACAGCAAACATGACGTTTCTTGCTGATGGGATGAGCTTCTCGAGTGTTGTGACGTCAGTTTTCACCTTGCTACACAACTCATATACTTGCTGCGCCGAAACATACAAATCACTGTTCTTCGCTTTTATCCTGCGTTGAATTTCAGTTGATTTAATGCCTTCACTATTAAAACAACGCATCCAGATTGCTGCTTTCAGGCTGTGCATGCCGACAGTGAGGCGGCCATCTTTACGCCAACGTTGCTTTCTCCTTCAGTGATGGAGCATCGTATTGCCACTTAATCGTAATTCTTTGAGCCACAACGATAACGTCTGACAAATTATAAATCAATCATTTAATGTTTCGGAATGTTTTACTGCTTTCAACGTTTACGTTAATCTTAAAATTCTCAAGCATTATCATCAAGCATCATATTATTTAAAGCAACAACTGATGCAAGATTGCCGATTTATTCGTTGGCTGGTTGCCATTTTTTTGTTTTGTTTTGCATGGAGAATGGTATCTCTCCTAACGAAGGTTTGGTATTAATATGCAAGTATATTTGTTTGTGGGATTTTGGAAGAGATCAGGCTACCGTATTTGAAATTCGTATCTGTTTTTGACACAGAAATGGCAGTTTAAAGGATGCAGTTATTGGACAATAAGAATCATCAATTAGTACTGAAACCCGAGTGGAAATATTAAATTTCTACAATTAAATCTAGATTTACTCTGCAGTGCATTGTTTAGATCAGGAAAACTGAGGCATCTTCTTGATATCTACGAAAGAAAAGTTTATTCTTGAAAGAAAATGTAGTTTGCGGTGGTATCTCATAAAGCAGATGATTATATTTGTATTCCAGGAAAATGAGTCAGTAAACATGGGAAAATCATTCTTTGACTCAAGCAGATTAATCTGTGAGACATTTAATAACAAATGTTTACATGACAAGTTGCGGAAATTTGATTTTTTAAGCAACCATTCCAATGGAAATTCTGCCCGTGTCATTGAAGTAAAAAACTCCATATGATTCTTCGAAAGGAAAATTCGTAATGCTTCAAATTCCACCTTATCAGTTTCAGTGAAGTTTCATATACGACTCGCGATAACACAGTAGATGGAACACCGGTTGCCACAAAGAATCGAGGATAAAATCATGTTGGCTGGATTGAAGGCCATAGCAGAGGTATTGATGGAGAGCTGCTCAATGGCTTAGAATTCAAACACGGAATATCCTGACATGTATTTCATTTAGGGACAGAGGTGAATACAAGTTCGAAAAAAAGTATTGCGCCTCTTCCAGAGAACCGCATACGTAAAGAAATATTCTATTCAAAGGCTGCAATGATTAGGATACTAAAAGGTAATGGGTGGGTATAATATTTGAAAAAAAAAAAAAAAAAACTGGTAAAGGAGCAATTCCACGGTGTCAGGTATGTGATTTTGTTAGAGATGATTCTGCTGCATAAGCATCTATTAAATTTAAATTTAAATTCTAATGATATTTATTCTAGGCTTTAAGTACGATGATACAAAATGATTGACTTACTTGAATTTTTATGACTTACTTGAAATTTGATAAACAGAATCTCTCGGTATTAATAGTGTGAATTCATCGGGTCTCTGTAAAATATGTGTTATGTGATCGGGATTGAAAAGGCTTTTTAATTTAATCACTGAAAATGGTTATGTACCTCTTTGTCTTGGTTGAAATTGATATCAACTTCAGTGTGTATTTGAATAAGCTATAGATCGTTTTGCTCTCACAAAACCAGCAAATGGAAACGAAAGACCCTGAACTGAAGATACTCTGGCGTCAAATACTTTCTGAATCACATACGAGATGAACTGTATGATCGACTTTCAAGATCAATTATTGACAGGACA